CATATTCATAACCAGTTTCTCCATGATGATACCAAACTTTGTAACTTCGTGTAAACCCTCTCAAATATAGATGAGTCCAAACATCTAACTCTTTTATAACCTTTTTATTTTTACAAGTAGAGCAAGGACATCTTAACATACCCGTTTTCGCTTCCGGTTGTCGTTGAACTAACGCCATGAATTCGCCTAAACCTCTTTGACTCTTCCGTTAGCAATCTCGTGTTAGGATCCAAATGAGGTCGATCGATCCAAGAACGAAAATAATTAGAAGAAGACATGTTTTTTTCAGTCAGATTCGTGTGTAAAATAGTATGTGAGAGGATGAAGATATGGAGTGAATGAAGAGGATGAAGGTGCTTGTATTTATAGATGAAATCTGCCGACAATTCTGAGGAAATTCCGACGGAAACGGCTAGTTCCTCGGAATTTCCTCGGAATTTTTTAAAATCCCCCAACGGCTATAATAAATCCTCGGATTTTCGTCGGTTTTTTCCGAGGAAACGGATTTCCTCGGAATTCCGTCGGGATATTCCGTGGAAATTCCGACGAAATCCGAAATTTGGGTTTCCTCAGAATTTCCCCGGAATTTCCTCGGAATTTCGTCAGTTTTTTCCGAGGAACCGGGTTTCCTCGGAATNAAATCCGAAATTTGGGTTTCCTCAGAATTTCCCCGGAATTTCCTCGGAATTTCGTCAGTTTTTTCCGAGGAACCGGGTTTCCTCGGAATTCCATCGGTATATTCCGAGGAAATTCCGAGGAAACCTTAAATTTGTGTTTCCTCGGAATTTCCTCGGAATTTCCTCGGAAATTTCCGAGGAATACATTTTCCCTCGGAATAGCCGTCAGAATTGCGGTGTTTTCTTGTAGTGACAAGTAAGCGCTACTTGTGATTATATCACAATGAATAGTGACTTCTTTTTAAAAATCTCATTCCAGGCATATTGATGATGACTCCTTTATTTCCTTTTTAATACAAATTGCCAATTTTATATTATCCCCATTGGGTCTAGGATAAATCATTATATAGGAAATTCGATACTGATTACATATTCCAAGTTACAATTCATCTATGCATAGCTATATTAGTGGGATCGATGCTCTAACTGGATTACATTCCAAACAAATATATAGATTCCACCTCCTCTATGATCATATTGATAATTAATTATAATATATGTAGATTTTTTTATAGAGATGGATTAGAGAATTTGAGCATAAAGCGGAAATGGAATATAACGGATAACAACCGGCCATATCCAAACATTCGACCTCATCTAATCGTTACGGCTTGCTCATAATGTTGGCAGCATCAAAGTTCTAATTCGTCGTGACAAGAAGGATATATATCGATTACAAATTCCCTTATTCTTTTAACCTATTTAACTAAAAAAATATCAAAAATATTTGACTTCTTACACTGTCGAACAAAATATGAAAACATTATGTAAATATTAAAATATCATAATATTACTATAGGAAAACATTATGTTAATATTAAAATATCATAATATTACGAAATCTATCACATCAATTACTTTTTGTTAGCATTTGACATTTAAATTAAATATAAAAAATTACCTATAATCTGTAGAAGCTCACCTTCTATAAATAGCATGCATGCGTCTTACTCTCTCCTCATCCCAAGTTCCCAACCAACTAACACACACACACTATCTCCCTAACTGAGAAAGACAAAATGCAATACAAAACCGAAACTCGAGGCTCGTTTTCTTACAACAAGGTGAACAACTTGGGAGTGTTTCCATCGGATAATCTGGTGAGGATAGAGTCCATGGCTGCAGAAAATGCAGTGGTTATATTCAGCGTGAGCACTTGCTGCATGTGCCACGCCGTCAAGGGTCTCTTCCGTGGGATGGGAGTGAGTCCAGCCGTCCACGAGCTGGACCTTCACCCTTATGGCGTCGATATCCACCGAGCTCTCATGCGTCTCCTAGGCTATTCCAGCGGCGCCTCCACTTCTCCAGGGGGACTTCCGGTGGTATTCATTGGTGGGAAGATGGTGGGATCAATGGAGAGAGTGATGGCTTCTCATATCAATGGCTCACTTGTCCCTCTTCTCAAAGATGCTGGTGCTCTCTGGCTCTGATCCCAACCAAAGTCCACCTTCTATGTTTTTATCTCCTTTGTGTTTTGGTTTCTATACTCTTTTCTGTTTAAGGAACTAAAAAAAAGATTAGGTTAATCACCATAGTGTTGAATTAGAGAGAGAATGAGAGGAGAAGTGCGTTTGTATTAAGCATAGCTCCCTGTATCCATCTTAATCACACTATTAATATAAAAAATTAGTAATCTCTCGTTTTACATTACAAGTTTGGCTGTTTTTTTTTCTTTCACTGAAAGGGGATTTACATTAAACAAAAGTTTGACTGTTAAAATAGCAAAATTGTATGGTCAAATTAAGACAAGAGTAAGGTTATTTTCATGGCATCTTAACCGTAATAACTGTTAACTGTTTGGTGAAGTAATGGCCTTAGAGGTCCCCACTCCAGATTACGTGGACACCCACCAGCAATAGTCAGTGATTTTGACCCGACCATTGCATCAAAGATGAGCTCTATAGCCCGTACATGCTATTGTCCAATAGCTTCACAGATTGTCTTTTTTTCTGACAATTATGAATACATCGTCAAATTGTTGTTAGAGAACTAAATGAGCTCCTTTTTAAAAACTATTAGAACGAGAAGATCATCACATTTCGTGAGTTAGAAAGGTTTATCTTAACCTTTTAGATCAGTAACACATTAAAGTGCTCATCATGAAAAAAAAAAAGAAGCTAAGTCGCATATAACTAAAACAAAGATTCTATTCATTAGAATAATTCTTACGTAGGTATTCATCACCTTCCACCAAAAAAAAAAACATTGATTCATCACCCATGAAACACAATTTGGGGGAATCCAATTATCTGTGCTCAAGCATATATGAACAGATGATGAACAGAAAGACGCCGGACATGTCAGAAGAAATGCTGTGAACAAGAGATGGTGATGCCTCCTTGATCCATTTCAACCTCTTTTGAATCAGCCACACATCTCAGCAACAATACATGTGCAGCTATGTGTTCTCGCTCGCACAGCAATTGCGACGCCTCACCAAAATGGCCTACACCCACACACACACACCAAAAGAATCAGCCAGGAACTTGACTTAAGACCAGAAAATAAACACACTACAAGACTTAATTGTTCCCTCAGCATTTTGAATCTGCCAAGTCCATTAGTTAACAGTCAAAGTCATTCTAGCCCATCCCATTTTGATCCTCATCATCTGGCCCAATAACAGGTTAAAACATCTGTAATTGCTTCACAGTAAGTCACTTATCTTCTAAATAAGATCTACCTTGTGACATAATAAGGAAAGTGAAAACGTTGGATATATACCAAAAGGAGAAGATATGATTGAGGAACATGAAAGGACATTGACAGAGAAAAATGTCCACGTGAATTTGACACAAGTAGATCACATTCTAAGGAATATAACATAAGATAATGTAGTGTGGGAGCAATGGACGTGACTCTACATTGCAAAACTTAGCATTTGTATGTTTGCTTTAATCTGGACCAAAAGTGCATTGCTTCCATCTAGGTCCCATACCCAATACTAACTACTTCTGTTTGTTCCTTTGTCCCTTGTTCCTTTGTTTCACCCCCATATTCTTCCTTCCTCTTTTTAATCCTAATTAACCACCTTTGCTTTCCCATTTATGATCTTCCTCATCATTGTCTCTCTGTCTTTGTTCCCGCTAATCTAATCAACTCTAACATAATCTAATCAGGTAAAGGGTCCAATTCCAAGTTCCTACTTGATCTACCAAAAAAACTGGCTACAGTATATGATATTTAATAGAGGGACAACAAACCCCATTACACTACGACTTATTAGAAAGCAAAATTATAGTACCTGATGTGGAGAATAGCTTCACTTGTCTGAATCAACTAGTACAAAGCATTCGTTGTTGATTTGTCACGGAGCTTTCCATATGCTTCCTGGAGAAAGCACTCTTTCTTTACTTTTCTGATCATCATCTACCTGCCGTTTCTTCTTGTCAGAGACAGCCAAGTCAACAAAAGCAAAACTAAACAGTACTCTTTTCATTGGAAATTATTTCAACATAATGCATTGTCAATCACTCTAAAAATGACCAAGGAGCCAGCATTGATTTATCTTTCAGATAAAAAAATCAATTAATATCTCTATGGAAAGCAGCACCAGTGTTAAAAACATAGTTTAAAAGTTCTTCTATAACTAGCACAGAGCGAGTTTGTAACATCGGGTCACCATTGGCTGTGTAAATGAGAATGTTGGATTACTTTATCAAAAGTTGCAGAAAAGAATGTCGGATAAATGGCTCATGTAATGGATTCATTTTGCATCCACTGTTTATGTATATCGTATGTAAAATGACTAGTTAACTTAATATCAATGGCTCATGAATGCCGGATATATCTACAACGTTTTATGAATATAGAAACTCAAGTCAAGCTAAAATTGTAATATCTTGGATGATTAATGGCTGTTATTAATGGCTCACGAACGCCACATAAAATCCATAAAAGGAAATTTTGATATAGAAACTAAAATGAAGATCAAATAGTAATACCTGAGATGATTGATGAATGTAAATTACGGATAGCTACTCCAATAAATGTGCGTGTCATGTAACCACAACAGTAGGTTTGTGTCTGTAATGGGCCTCCAACTTGTTCTTGATGTGATCTTGAAAGAGAATGGCCAACCAAAGTTTTGTAGCTTTCTTGGTGTTGGTCTCCACTGTCATCAACCTAAAAGTTTAGAGATGCTGTTAGCAACTAATTCACCTTCTATATGAAGGGCTTTGAAGGTTCTCTATTAAGTCACTTTCTCCACTAGTATTGTGTGGTAACGAGAAAATGAAGGTACGTTCTATATTTACAAAAAAAACATCAACTAATTTGTAGCCAACACTTACCAGCGCTTATTTTCTTGCAGTTTTGGGGCTGGATTCATCATAAGTTCCCGGAGAATAGCAAAGAGCTATTGAAAGATGCTACAACTGGTAACTTCTCTATATGCATCTTTTCCTGTCAAATATGTGGGAACAAAAATAATTAGCGTGTTGAATTCTAGAAGAATGGCAATAGGACTTAGCAAGCACTTTAGGCCTAGTAATTGTCTAAAGACTAAGGTTGTGCTCATGTGTCAGCTAGCGAATAAAAAGCTTAACTTTTGTCTTGCCTGTCGATAGCGAGTATGTAAATGCCATGCCTCCACCTGCCTGTTGCAACAACTCAACATTTTCCCCTATTTCCTGCGCAAATGCATATTTTTCCATCCCTCGGTGGATGCTCATACTTTTCTGACTAAACTTGCTTTCTTCACATGGAATTCTATTTCAGGTAACAGCCGTTTCTCCCTTTCATCCCTTGATAACAAGGATGTTTACCCCGCCGCATGTGCTGGCCCCAGATACAGTACTGGAATAAGCAAACAGCATCTGTTCCAGGAAAGCTCCTTTGCCGGACTCAAGGAAAATATCAAGGATGAGAGAAACAGTGATTTTTTTGATGGATTTCTTGCCATTGGAACCCTTGGTGGAGAAACATATCTGGAGGAACCAGCAACACCGACATTTGGCATGTCATCAGGGGACCCGGCAGCAGATAATGCAGAAGTGACAGAGAATGATCTGAAGCGCATTAGTCATGAACTGGAGAAGTTCCTTGAGGCTGAAGCTAAAGAAGGACACAACCGACCATCAGGAAGGAACAGCGACACTAACACTACTGCATCCACCATTGAGGCTGTTGAGGGACTAGATGCTGAAGAAGACAATCAGCCAATGAAGTTCCCACTCCAAGAGTATCTTTTTGGTTCTCTAACTGAATTATCTGAAACAAAGACTGTGGGGAAGAAGGAACGAGCATCACTTGGAGAACTGTTTCAGGCAACAGAAATGCAAGATAAACATTCCGAAAACAAATATGTGGAGAAAAAGAAGCAAAGCAGTTCAACCCACAAGTCTGCAAAGCATCTTGTGAAGAAGGTGCTGAAAAAGTTACACCCATCCTCGAGGAGCCCCGACAGTGGTAAAACTGAAGTACCTTCCACAAAGAAGAAATTCCAAAAGGTATGGTTTTTCACTACACGTGAGATATAATTAGCTCTAAACAAACATTTATTGTGAGTGCAGATGGCGCAAGTTTTTCATAGGAAAGTATTTCCAGAAGACTCCATCATGGAAAGCGAAATGCACAGCACCATGACAGATCCAAAATACAGCCAAGGAAATTCTACTGGATTAATGTCCGAGAAGGTGATCCCCTGTAACGAGGGAAGTAAATCATGGATCCAGTATGAGCTAAATAGTTCCGATTCAGCTAGAAACGGAGAACACTGGATCAAAACAGACGAAGACTGTAAGTGACCATCATACCAATTACTTGATATATTTATTTCAAAGGAAGAAACACATTGGCATTCAGGCATCCACTAGTTTTCTGCTTGTGGTCGAACCAGATAATAATCCATAGTTGCTTTTGCAGACTTCGTGTTGGAGCTGTAGAAAAGAGTTCCGAACAAAAACGCAAATCAAGAAGTGTGAGTGTACTATGTCATTTCATGCATGTGTGGTATGATTAAGTAAAATGTGTTGAAGACTTAGCGGGAATGTTCATCAAGCCCCTCTATGTAATAATAAATATTTACATGGTGTTATAAATGCAGTAAGATATCTCACATCTATCGTTTTGGAGTACTAAAGTTAAGAAAAAACATTATTGTAACCATTTATTCAAATCCATCTATATGTATTTCAATCCCATAAGAGAGACAGTAGCTCTCTCTCAACTGCTAAGCCGTGATATTTCATTATCTCTTATACAAAATAACTTAGATAGTCTACCTTAACTGATACGCCATGACATGTTCATTATCTCCTATATAAAAGAACTAAGATTAGTCTACCTTGAAAAACGAATAGCTATCTCAAAACTTCATGCAATAATAAACTTATATCCCTGGGTAAAAGAATCCGAGCCAAACCTGGTGGACGTTCTGGACGAAGAACACCATCTGATTCCATTCTCCACGTCTGCTAACTCTCTGCAGAAAGGCTTTACCCAAAAAGCAGTAGCAGTTAATGTCAAAGGGAAATGTGGGATTCTTGACTTATATGAGAGCTCAAACTGTTATCAATTAAAACGAGTCAAAAAGAGACAAATTGTTAAATTATTATATTTCACTTCCAAGAGTGCTCAAACGTTCAAGAAACAAAAACAACAAAACAGAAAACCCAAGATTCACAGCTACAATAGTTAAGTAGACAATGGTATTGAAACCAAAGTCATAACTCCAACTCTAACAAACAAAACACCCCTTAGTGTATACAACAAAGCATACAAACTAATCCTTCTCTTTCGGAATATCCTTCCCCGGAACCTTCGTTTCAATCTCCTTTGGTTTTATGGACTGCGCTGCCCTGAATAAAAAGAAAAACACATCAAACTAATCAGTAACAACACACACACAAATAGAACTTGCAATTGTGTTGCTACAGAGATCTCCATTAATCAATCACAATCCTCTTATGCACACCTAAACCAATGCCATCAAATCACTTCCTTCTAACATTCACAACTTACTCAAACTAACAAATTCAAATTCGATACCAAAGGCTAATTCAAACCTAGCAACTGCCAGATGATAACGATCGAACGTAACGGACAATGGATCATAAAAATCATCAACTAAACAATTCTATTCTATCATATATAAGCAAGGGAAGACTAACTTGGAGGCGGCGGGAGTTTCTTCTTCGAGCCAGTGGCGGATGTGCTTGACGTTGCGCCTCAAGACGGTGACAGATTGCTTGACGTCGCTCCTCAGTAGCATCACCACCGCGCCTACTCCGGCCACCGTCAGCATGAAATTCGTCAATCCCATTGTTTCGGTTTCAGAATCGGATTCTCCGGAAGCTAGGGATTTTTTTTTTTTAGTTCACGTGATTCACTCACTGTTCTGGTGTCTATTTTTTATGGGCCGTTGGTTTTGCAATTTATGGGCCCTTTAAGATTATTAAAAGCCCAAATAGCTCCCCCAGTTTAATTAAGGTATTTCATAGTTTTTTTTTTCCTGTACCAAAGAATTACACCAAACTTATTATTTTTTTATTAATTTATAAAAATTATTGATTTATCGATATATTAATTAAACCAAAAAATAATTTAGAATTATATAATTATATTATTTTATAGAGATTTTTAGTGTATATTAATTTATAAAATATTGATTTAAATAGCTTATACTTAGATGGCATAGTTATTTCATGTTTAAACTTGATGAAGCTGTATTGATCAAAATCGTGATGTTGAAATTCAAAAATAACAAAACATCAACTTGATGAAGTGTATTACATTTGACGTGAAGATAGATGATTCTTGTTGAGTGCAAGTTTATGGGAAGAGATATACTAATTAATTAACATATTTTGCTTCTCGAAGATATCATCAGCATATTGTATTCACATGTTGTTTTCATAAGTTAATTACTCTTATTATGAAGTTGAAAAGTCGATGGCATTAGCCTATTATATAGTGTATATCTTAATATATTTTTTTGGTCTAAATGTTAAGTATATCTTAATATTTATTTACTTTTCTAATTAGTTTCCAACAATGTTGCTAATAGTAATACTATATACTACTGTATTCGTATTCATATTTGTAGATTATAATTTAGGAGAGGGAATAAATAGCCCATCTGGTCCACGCATGCAGTGATGCATGGCTCATATATGTAATAAATGAAGTGCTATAAATTATAGAGGTACTAACAAAACATAAGGAAATGAAAATCATATAATTAAATTATAATTCCAGTACAAGTAACTAAATAAAAATCAGGTTTCAGAGCTGATCAAAAACAATAACGAAATTACTTAAAGTATCATTAAGGATGCAAATAGCGATCGATGAGGGTCGGTCGGTACAGTGTTAAATTAATTAGCTAGGCAGCGTATATGTGGATATGAAGAGCGATAAGGGAGACAGTGATACATGCAAAGAAGATAAGGGTGTGTATGACAATGGCTGCGCCGCTTGTCTGGAAACCGCCAAACTCAACCACTCTGGTCTTCCCCGGAAGCTGAAACAAAACTCCTGGAGTCAATACGATGAAAAAGATTACCGACATTAACACTGGTCCCCAATTCAACCCCATCGTCTCGATGTCTAAAAACAACCAAGTTGTTACGTGTGTGAAACTACGAGTTAGTTGTGGGAGATGTAGCTAGTAGATGTATGTCATTTTATAGAATGCTTGAATCAAGATGTTGATGAAACATTGGCTTGAACTGAACGAAATTAGAAGGTTGTGAGGTGAAGAAAAGAACGATTCTCTGCAGCTACTCGATCGTATCAAAACTATATCTTATAATATTGTCACACTATGTATTGAGTGTTAGTTATGCTAGGAATCCGATTCGATCTAGTGGGTATGTAGCATCTGATGTTTTTTTTTTCTGTTTTGTTTAAAAGAGTCACTTGGCTTTTTTTCTTTTGTTGCAAGAGACATTTGGCCTTTGAGAATTGAGTTTCTGTCTTTATCAATGAAGGTTAACTTTTATAAAAATAGCGGCAACCCCTGACTTATTTGAATACTGTGTCAAATGGATAAGTTTTGCGAATATTTACGAGACGACATTATATGCCAAGAAAACAAAGATGATAAAATCAATTCTTGTCCATATAATTCTCTAGCTTATCCATATCCGTGTCAAGCCGCTTGTATAAATTTAACGCATGTTTTTTAATAGCTTTTATATACTTTCTTTTATAAACACACGGGAAAACGACCCTTCACCAAATTATTGATTTGCAAAAGCGTTCCTTGGCAAGAAAACGTCTAACCAAGTAAAACCAATCATATTCATTACTTGAGTTAATGCCAAAGAATATAGCGTCGTGGTAGTTGCAAAGAAGGCATGCATGCAAGTTGCGTTCATCTAAATCTACTGGAAAAAGGCATGCATGCAAAAAAAAATTGTTTGGTAAGAAACTTTTACAACTTTTTGTTTATTGTATATACTTAGTTTACAAAGAACAATTCAGACTAATGAACTTTTAAATTGATAAGGACACCAGTCATACCATCAGGCGTAAGTTTACATACTGATTGAATTATGTTGTAAATGGAATATGTGTTCACTGATAAACATTTAGCAAAAAATGATTAATCTTTGATAAACAAGAATAGAAAACTCTTACATTTATCTTTTTTTTCTTACCACATCTAACCTCAGCCAGAAAAAAAAAACAATTGTGATAAGATTCAATTCAACTTGTTGATACTACTGACAATGACTTTAAACTAATTAATTTCCAAGCATCCCACTAATGTTCGCTTTAATTATTTCAAATCATACAATTAATTAATTTCCAAGCATCTACTAATGTTCGCTTTCATTAATTCAAATTATACATGAGTCGTTTTATAAGAAGATAGATAACGTTATTAATCCTGGTCTAGTATAGAGAGGCGTGAGTGAAACAATAAAGCTGATTAGCTGTAAGAGATAATCAACGTTAATTAAAAAGATTATTAGTAGGCCCGTTGCATTGAAGAATAACATTGACCAAGCACAAAACAATTCTACATCGACTGCTCATGAATATCATCGAGCTTTTTCTTTTACAATTCGTACACGTCTTCTTTGTCAACAATCGATCTACGTATACAAGTTCTAATCATCTTATTCAAATCGGAAGTTTAGATCTGATTACAAGTCCGATTTGTAACAAGTTAGCCTACTACGTCCATCCACTAAACCATGCATATTCTACTAATCAGCTTTTAATCTCCCTTAGGAATTGGTTACCGTTCTTAAACGTAAATTAAGAAACTTAATCACCATTTTACAGCTTTGTTGCCACCTCTATTTCAATCCTTACCATACCCTACACTATCTATCCGTCAATGTCTTGTTTGTTGTCTTTTTTTCATTTAAGACTATAAAGGGATATCAAAAAGACAGACACAGAGACAAACACATACCCCAAAAGAAATTAAAAAAAAAAAAACTTTAAAAACATTTTTGTCCTAAAACACAACAAAACTTTCACCGTACTCCTTTTGATCTGATTCTTTCTTCTTTCAATGGCGTCAACAACACGAGAAAAGTTTGTATCATTCATAAACAACAGATGGCTTGTCTTCGTTGCCGCCATGTGGATACAGTCTTGCGCTGGTAACGGTTACTTGTTCGGTAGCCTTTCTCCAGTGATCAAAACCTCTCTTAACTACAACCAGAAGGAGCTTGCTAGACTCGGAGTCGCCAAGGATCTTGGTGACAGTGTTGGCTTCATTGCTGGGTCTCTCTCTGAGAGTTTGCCTCTCTGGGTTGCTCTTCTCGTTGGAGCTGTTCAGAACCTCGTCGGTTACGGATGGGTTTGGCTTATCGTCACCCGCCGAGCTCCGGTTCTACCGTTATGGGCTGTAAGTACTGAAAAAAAGTTTGAGACTTTCTAAAAATAAAGTTTGAGAGTAAGAGTTTATATTACTGTGTGTGAAAAAGTCAAATCCATGAAAGTACAATACTTTATGTTGTTATGTTATGTCTCATCTCTTGTTCTGCTTTCTTGAAATAACTCTGTTTCTTTGCTCAAAAAAAAAAAAAAACTCTGTTTCTGTCTCTTAGAGAATCTTTTTGCTGACACAACCTCTTCTAAGTTTTACTCATAAAGTTGGAGACTTTCTATTAGTTTAACTACTGTGTGGGAGAATCTTGCAAAGAGTATGCTTTATGGTTGTTTGGGTACTCATAAGTCGTTGTCAAATCCATGAAAGTACAACACTTTATGTTGTTATGTTATGTCTCATCTCTTGTTCTGCTTTCGTTGAAAATAGCTTCTCTTAAAGAATCTTTTTGCTGACACAACCTCTTTTAAGTACTCATAAAGTTATAGACTTTCTATTACTGTGTAAGAGAATCTTGGAAAGAGTATGCTTTTAAGGTTATTTGGCTACTTATAAGTTACCCTCAAATCAATAAAAGTTCAACATTTTTATTGTTTTGTCTCATCTCTTGTTCAGCCTTAGTTGAAATGTTCTGTTTCTGGAGAAGTTTTAAAGTATGTTCTGTGCTGACACTGACCACTCTTTTCTTTTTAGATGTGTCTTCTCATATTTGTTGGGAACAATGGTGAGACCTACTTCAACACCGGGTCACTAGTCTCTGGAGTTCAAAACTTCCCCAAGAGTAGAGGTCCAGTGGTGGGTATCCTCAAAGGTTTTGCTGGACTAGGAGGTGCCATCCTCTCTCAGATATATACAATGATCCACTCCCCTGACCCTGCTTCCATCATTTTGATGGTTGCTGTTGCTCCTGCTGTTGTTGTTGTGTCCCTTATGTTCTTCATCAGACCAGTTGGTGGTCACAGGCAGATACGTCCTACTGATGGAGCTAGCTTCACTTTCATCTACGGTGTCTGCATTCTCCTCGCTGTCTATCTCATGGCCGTTATGCTTGTTGAAGATCTTGTCATTGTTAGCCACAACATTGTCACCATTTTCACCATTGTGTTGTTTGTTATTCTTGTTGTACCGGTCTTGGTTCCAATCATGACGAGTTTCTTTATGGACTCAAACGGTCCTGTTGAAACAGTGGAGGAACCTCTTGTACCTAAAAGGGAAGACCAAGAACCGGGAACGCAGACACCTGATTTAATCTTGAGTGAAGTTGAAGATGAGAAGCCAAATGATGTGGATTCGCTTCCTGCCTCAGAGAGGCATAAGAGGATTGCTCAGTTGCAAGCACAGTTGATGCAGGCAGCTGCTAAAGGAGCTGTAAGGGTGAAGGGACGTAGAGGACCACACAGAGGTGAAGATTTTACTCTAACGCAGGCACTAGTGAAGGCAGACTTCTGGCTCATTTTCACCTCACTGCTCCTTGGTGGTGGTTCTGGTTTGACTGTTATTGACAATCTTGGTCAGATGAGTCAGTCTCTTGGTTATAACAACACTCATGTGTTTGTGTCTATGATTAGCATTTGGAACTTCCTTGGACGTATCTCCGGCGGTTACTTCTCTGAGCTAGTTGTCAGGTTTGTTTGTGATCTGTGTATTTCATCTCTGTTTAACAAGGCTCCAAATCTGTTAAATCCGAAACGATTTCCTTAAAATCCGATTTAACTTACTTAATCGGCTAAATCAATTATAAATCGGTTTAAATAGGTCTAAATCGATCTAGTGAAAGTCCACAATTTGTTTAATCTCTTCTTTTTGTATATCCAATTCTTTTATAAATTATCAAAATGTTTTTATAATTAAACCCAAAAGTTAAAATATCAGATATAAATACAAAATATATGATAAATAAAAAAAATCTTTAATTTGTTGCCTACGCCGAATAATTCACCTAGTCTCTAGAGCGTTTAGTTACTGTCTAGTGAATTTTTTTAACGTTGTTGTTATGATGTGCAGAGACTACGCGTACCCAAGGCCAGTAGCATTAGCCGTGGCTCAGGTAGTAATGGCTATAGGAAACGTCTTCTTTGCGTTTGCATGGCCTGGAGCAATGTACATTGGCACACTCTTGATAGGACTCGGATACGGTGCTCACTGGGCTATAGTACCAGCTACAGCCTCTGAGCTCTTTGGTCTGAAAAACTTTGGAGCTTTATACAACTTCTTGACTCTAGCCAATCCAGCTGGGTCCCTTGTCTTCTCTGGTATGATTGCAAGCACTATATACGACATGGAAGCAGAGAAACAAGCACATGGGTCAGTTTTTAATCCTGATGATGTCCTTAAATGCAATGGTTACATATGTTACTTCTTGACGTCACTGATAATGTCTGGTTTCTGTATCATTGCATGCATCTTGAGTTTGATTCTCGTGCGTCGTACCAAGCCTGTTTATACTCATCTTTATGGCAAGACTCGCACCTGATTTGTTTGTTGGTTTTGTATATATATATTGTATGAATTATGATCATGCTCTTAGCTTCTTTATTCTTTGGTTTTGTCTTTTGCCGATACAGATGTTTTTATTCTGTGTCGATTTTTGTTGTTGTTGTTAATTTTTATTTGTTGATTTTCCTTTTTTAAAATAATAAAAATAAATAATTGAGAAGTAAAGAAGGAAAATATTGAGATTCTTTATTTAAATATATTATGTAATTTATTTCCAAAAATTTAAGTAACTTTATTAGTACTTACTCCCACATCGGAATAATCAGAAGTAATAGAGTTTCATATATAGCTAAAAAAATAGATGATTAGTCGCCGAGCTTAGTAACGCAAGCTTGTCATCCTAGTGGAGGCTCTAAAGGTTAATTAGTACAGTTGTTGGGATCTCTAGGCCGGCCCGATGAGAAAAGTGTTGGGTCCCAAGTCTGTTCCTCCAAGCCGTGAGCTTACCCCGCCTCGTAACACTGTTTCA